TTTATTTCTTTCTAACTCTTTCCCTGCCACTTCTCCAGCTAGAATCATGATGCATAATGTTTTAGATTCTCTAGTGTTTCCCCATTATCACAAACTTTTGGAGACTTTATTTATTTATTTACTTATTTATTTTTAATGAATTATTATTATTTTTAAAAAGATTTTATTTATTTATTTGACAGAAATCACAAGTAGGCAGAGAGGCAGGCAGAGAGAGAGGGGGAGGCAGGCTCCCTGCTGAGCAGAGAGCCCGATGCGGGGCTCCATCCCAGGACCCTGAGATCATGACCAGAGCCAAAGGCAGAGGCTTTAACCCACTGAGCCACCCAGGTGCCCCAATGAATTATTTTTTTAAAAGATTTTATTTATTTGAGAGAGAGAAAGAGCAAGTGCAAGCAAGGGGAAGGGGCAGAGGGAGAGAAGGAAGCAGACTCCCCTTTGAGCAGGGAGCTTGATGCAGGGCTCGATCCAGGGTCTCAGAGATCATGATCTGAGCCAAAGGGAGATGCTTAACTGACTGAGCCACCCAGGTGCTCTGGTGACATTTAAAAAAAAAAAAAAAACATTTATTTATTGGGACATCTGGGTGGCTCAGTCCCACATTGGTCTCCTCACTCAGCAGGGAGCCTGTTCTCCCTCTGCCCATCACTCTCCCGACTTGTGCTTTCTCTCTCTGACAATTAAATCTTTAAAATAACCCATTTATTTATTAGAGCAAGAGGGAGTGAGAGCACACAGCAGGGGAAGAAGCAGAGTGAGGAGGGGAGAGAGAGAATCTCAAGCAGACTCTCTGTTGACCATGGAGCCCAATGCAGGGCTCGATCTAATGACTCCAAGATCAAGACCTGAGCTGAAATCAAGAGTCAGACACTTAACCAGCTGAGCCACCCAGACACCCCTCTGAAGACATTTTTAATGGATATGTAATCAGTCGTGTGGATGCACATTTTATAAACCTTTCTCCTTACTTTTCCAAATTTTGTTAAATTATGCAATTTTCTGGAGGAAGATTTTTCTTTTTCTTTTTAAAAAATACTTAATTTATTTATTTGCCAGGGAGAGAATAGGAGAGCACAAGTGGAGAGAGGTGAAGACAGATGCTTAATTGACTGAGCCACTCAGGCACCCCTGGAAGAAATTTTCTTTCCTTTTCTAGGTGTCAGTGAAAAAATTTCCAATTATTGATAGACTTTTACACCTTGTTAGAGCATTACTAGTGATATACCTTATTAATTTATCTATTCACTGATTCATTGAGTAAACATATTTTGAGAACTAATCACATGCCAGGCAGAACTCAACGACATGCCAAAAGTTGACCACCTAGTGTGTAAGAGGTAAGAAGTAATGATAATACAGTATGATGAATGCCATGATAGAGGAGGACATAGAATCCTATGGGAGCTAATAGCAGGACATCTGTTTTAATTTGAGGTATGGAGGTGCGTAGAAATCTTGTAAGTCTGACCAGAGGAGGTGAAACTTAAGCTGGGTCTTAGGGACTCATGATAATAAGGTAGTCAAAATTGAGGGTGAGCAGGGAGGGCTTTTAGGTGGAGGGAACAGCACATGCAAAGACATGGAAGCATGTCCAGGTTAGGAAGCTTTAATATTCATATTAAAAATGGCTTCAGTGAATGGTGCATGTGAGGGAGTGGCAAGAGTGGAAGCTACATAAAAGGGCAGATGTAATTTCTTAAAGGGCCTTGGATATTCTCAAGGCTGAGGTGTAAACATAAGGTAAAGTCATTGAGGAACATGTTTGTAGCTCTGATTCTCATTTATACATCAGCATTTCTCAAATTAATAGCTCTCACTCAGACCTCACCTTTAAGCTCCAGATCTATAAATTCAACTGCCTAGTTGGCCTCTCTAGAATATAGCAAGAGGGTAAGCTCCATGAGAGCAAGTATTCCACTGCTTTTGTCCTAAGCTGTATCTGCATTGCCTTGAAGAGTGCCTGGCAATAATTTCTTGAATAATTAAATAAATGGATGATTCTTTAATATATCTCTCAGATATATCTCAAACTACATATAAATTAAATTCATGATCTTCCGCCTCTAACCTGACCCTCTTCTGATGCTTCCTATTTCAATGGTCGGCACCTTTTATTTAGTTTCACAAGCCAGGAGTATGGGTGTATCTCTGGCAAAGCTGCCTTTCTTGCCTTCCATATTCATTTAATCACCAGGACATTGAATTTTTGACACATTTCCTTATAGGTCTAATTCTCTCCCTCTCTGTTCCTCCCTTTGAAGCTATTATCATCTCTCTTCTAGTCCTGGACAGGACTAGTAAACTCTAATGTACTCTTGTCCTTTTCAATCTATTCTTTTTGCTGCTCTGGGAGCCAAACCCACAGAATCAGATTCTAATATTCCTGTTTGAAACCAATTGTTCTTAGGATAAAAAAAATTCTTAGCATTGTGTACAAGAGTATGTGTGCTCTGGCCCGTGTCACAACTCAAGCCACAACTCAAGCCCCCCTTTTGGATTTATTGTGCTGTAGTCACACTGACTTTAAAATTTTTCCAACAGATCATGCTTTCTCCTGCCTCGACTCTTCTGTATAATTAGTAGCTTTTAGTGCATACTATAAAATGGAATGTCTATTGTTAGAGAATTAAATGTATCTATACTTTTGAGTAGATATTTATAACCCTAAAAGCGCAATGTTCTGTGCAGCATTCTTTTTTTTTTCTGTGCAGCATTCTTTTCTTGAAAAGTAAACTATCTGAATTATTGCAAAAAAGCACAAGCATTTTAAGATATAATTTGTTCCTCTTTCAGATTATATTGCACATCTCAACTTTCCCACAAGTCAGTTATAAAACAAATATCCGTGAGCTACATTTATTCTTATTTTAAAGTAAAAAAAATCTTGTAGATTTAAACCATTCTATTTTTTTTTTTTAAAGATTTATTTATTTGTGAGAGAGATGGGGTATGTGAGTTGGGTTGGGGGGAAGGAAGGGAGGGGCAGAAGGAGAGGGAAAGAGAGAATCTTAAGCAGACTCTGCTGAGCTCAAAGCCCCATGTGGGGCTTGATTTCAGGATCTGGAGATCATGGCCTCAGCTGAAATCAAGAGTCCCATGCCTATGGCGAGGATGTGGAGAAAGGGGAGCCCTCCCACACTGTTGGTGGGAATGCAAGCTGGTGCATCCAGTCTGGAAAACAACATGGAGGTTCCACAAAAAGTTGCAAATAGAGCTACCCTATGCCCCAGCAATCACACTACTGGGTATTTACCCTAAAGATACGAATGTAGTGATCCGGAGGGGTATGTGCACCTGAATGTTTATAGCAGCAATGTCCACAATAGCCAAACTGTGAAAAAACCAAGATGTCCATCAACAGATGAATGGATAAAGAAGATGTGGTATATACATAAAACGGAATACTATGCAGCCATCAAAAGAAGTGAAATCTTGCCATTTGCAATGACGTGGATGGAACTAGAGGGTATTATGCTGAGCAAAATAAGTCAATCAGAGAAAGATAATTATCATATGATCTGATATGAGGAATTTGAGAGGCAGGGTGGGGGTTGTGGGGGGTAGGAAAGGAATAAATGAAACAAGATGGGATTGGGAGGGAGACAAACCATAAGAGACTCTTAATCTCACAAAACAAACTGAGGGTTGCTGGGGGGTGGGAGAAGTAGGGATAGGGTGGTTGAGTTATGGACTTTGGGGAGGGTGTGTGGTATGGTGAGTGCTGTGAAGTGTGTAAACCTGGTGATTCACAGACCTGTACCGCTGGGGCTAATAATAAATTATATGTTAATAAAAATAATTAAAAAAAAAGTCCCATGCCTAACTTACTGAGCTACCCATGTGCCCCTAAGCCATTCTATTTTTAGCAGCATTTACAAGATGCTGCAGTATTGGGGCGCCTGGATGGCTCAGTGGGTTAAAGCCTCTACCTTCGGCTCAGGTCGTGATCTCGGGGTCCTGGGATCGAGCCCCACATCGGGCTCTCTGCTCAGCGGGGAGCCTGCTTCCTCCTCTCTCTCTCTGCCTACTTGTGATCTCTGTCTGTCAAATGAATAATACAAAAAAAAAAAAAAGATGCTGCAGTATTGACATAGGGAGGAAATGCCTTAAAAAACAAAACAAAACTTTAGGTTTTATATGAAAGTAGGGACTTAATCAGTTTTAAGTGGAGTCCTCCATTCTGAAGATAGTTGTCATTTATTTTTTTAAAAACTTATTTATTTTTATGAGAAAGAAAAAGAGAGAAAGAGCACACGCAGGGGGGAGTGGCAGAGGGAGAGGGAGAGCAGACTCTCCTCTGAGCAGGCAGCCCGATGTAGGACTTGATCCCAGGACTGCAGAACTACAACCTGAGCAGAAGGCAGATGCTCAACCAACTGAACTGCCCAGGTGCCTGACAGTTGTCATTTCTTGAGAGACTTAAAACCAACTTCCGTCATTACAAATAAAACAAATCTTGAATAGTCTCACAAGCACCAAAGCAGAGTTGTTTCACTAAACTAACATATTGTTCTCAATTGTGAGTACTTGGAAGAGGTTATTGTTTGGTTTTGTATGGTAATTTTTATTGTGTATTTGGTATTTGATGTTTTTTGTAATTAAAGTGTTCATAGAATATATATATATGTATATATATATACATATATATATATTTAAGATTTTATTTATTTGACAGACAGAGATCACAAGTAGGCAGAGAGGCAGGCCCAGAGAGAGGGAGGAAGCAGGATCCCCACTGAGTAGAGAGCCTGATGCGGGGCTCAATCCCAGGACCCTGAGATCATGACCTGAGCTGAAGGCAGAGGCTTTAACCCACTGAGCCACCCAGGTGCCCCTGTTTATAGAATATATTATATCCTGTTATGTAAAATAAGAAATTGGTTTGCTCACTTGCAGTTCAAATTGTATTCAAATTGTATTAATCATATATAAAACTAAAGCAGTAATATACCATATAATATATACTCATGACTTATTTTTCTTTAATTTTTTTCTTTTAGCACTAAAGATAACTTTACGGAAGAATGCAATCAAGTGATGGCTTTTTCTTTAGAATTTGAATATGGAGGCCACAGGAACAGATGAAGTTGACAAGCTAAAAACTAAATTTATATCTGCTTGGAACAACATGAAATATAGTAAGTATCATTCGAAAATTGTATAAATCTCAAGAAATATTTGAAGACATGTATCATCTGCCTTATTAAGTCACTCACAATTGCTTAAGTTTCTTTTGAATGAATATAAACATTGAATTTGGAAAACTATGGACACTGATTTTTTAAAAATTGAGATATAATTTACATACTAAAACATTTACCCTTTTATGATTCATTGGTTTTTAATATATTTTAAGATTGTGCAACCATCATCACTATCTAATTCCAGAACATTTTTTCACCTCCAAAAGCAATCCTGGACCCATTAGTAGCTCCCTACTTCTCTCCAGCCCCTGGGAACCACCAGAAAGCACACAAGAGGCAGAGAGGCAGGCAGAGGTGGAGAGAGAGGCAGGCTCCCCGCTGAGCAAGGAGACTGATGTGGGACTCAATCCCAGGACCCTGGGATCATGACCTGAGCCGAAGGCAGCGGCTTAACCCACTGAGCCACCCAGGCGTCCCAATGTGGACATTTCATATAAATGGAATCATACAACTTGTGGCCTTTTGTGTCTGGCTCCTTTCATTTAGCATAATGTTTTTGAAATTCATCCATATTGTAGCATGTATGTATCACTACTTCATTCCTTTATGTGACTGAATAATATTTCATCATTGAATAATATTTCATATGGCCATACTACATTTTCTTTACTCACTTACTAGTTGATGGACATTTGGGTTGTTTTTGACTTCTTGGCTAATATGAATAGTGCTGCTATGAACATTGTATATGAGTTTTTGTGTGAATATATGTTTTCAGTTCTCTTGGGTATATACTTAGGAGTAGAATTGCTAGATCATATGTTAACTCTTAAGTTTAATTCTGAGGAACTACCAAGCTGTTTCTCAAAGTGGCCTCACCATTTTACATTCCCATCAGCAGTGTTCGAAGTTCTGAATTTCTCTGCATCCTAACCAACATTTTCTATTGTCCATCCTTTCTAAAATTAAGTATTTTATTTATTTAAGTAATCTCTAAATCCAGTGTGAGGCTCAAACTCACAAACTGGAGATCAGGAGTTGCATGCTCTTCTGACTGAGCCAGCCAGCTGCCCCATATTGTCCACGTTTTAAAAAACTTTTTTAAAGATTTATTTTAGAGAGAGAGCATGAGTGGTAGGGGCAGAGGGTGAAGGAGAGAGAATCTCCAGCAGACTCTGTGCTGAGTACAGAGCCTGCACACAGGGCTTGATTTCACAACCCTGAGATTGTGTCCCCAAGCAAAATCAAGAATAGGATGCTCAACTGACTGAGCCACCTAGACTCCCTGTTCATCTTTTTTATTAGAGTCATTCCAGTGGGTGTGAAGTATCTCACGAAGTTTGATTTGTATTTCCTTGACGAATAATGACATTAAGCATCTTTCCATATACTTATTGGCTATTTTTATAATTCTTTGGAAAATGTTTATTTAAATCCTTTATACCTTTTTAAATTGGGTTATCTGTCTTTTTATTATTGAGTTATAAGTGTTCTTTGTATATTTTAGATACAAATCCTTAGCAAATAAATGTATGGTTTGTAAATATTTCTTCCCATTTTGGGGTTATCTTTTCACTTATTTGATAGTGTCCACTGAAGCACAAAACTTTCAAATTTTGATGAAATCAATTTATATATTTTTTTCCTTTGTGCTTTTGGTATCATATTTAAGAAACTTTTGCTTAAATCAGGATCATGAAGATTTGTACCTATGTTTCTTTTTAAGAATTTTATTATTTTAGGGGCACCTGGGTGGCTCAGTGGGTTAAAGCCTCTGCCTTCGGCTCAGGTCATGATCCCAGGGTCCTGGGATCAAGCCCCGCATCGGGCTCTCTGCTCAGCGGGGAGCCTGCTTCCCCTCTCTCTCTCTGCCTGCCTCTCTGCGGACTTGTGATCTCTATCAAATAAATAAATAAAATCCAAAAAAAAATTTTATTATTTTAGCTCTTATATTTAGATCTGTGTTCCATTTTGAATTAATTTTTGCTTGTGATGTGAGTTATAAGTCGAATTCATTTTTGTACGTAGCTATTTAGTTGTCCCAGCCCCATATTTTGAAGACTATTCTTTCTCCTTTGAATGATCTTGATACCCTTGTCTGAAATCAGTTGACTGTAGATGTAGAGATTTATTTCTGGACTTGCAATTCAGTTCCATTTATCTACACATCTGTCCATGTGCAGGTACTACACTCTCTTGATTACGTTAGCTTTTTGTAAAATTTAAAACTGGGAAGTGTGATTCCTCCAACTTTGTTCTTCTTTTCCAAGGTTGTTTTGGCTATTCTTGGACCCTTGCATTTCTATATGAATTTCTTGATCATCTTATCAATTTCTATAAGAAATCCAGCTAGGATTTTGATATAGATTTTATATGGAATCTGTAGATCCACTTGCAGAGTATTGTCATCTTAAAAGAGTATTGCCGTATTAAGTCTTCCAATCCATGGACATGGGATATCTTTGCTTATATTTAGGCTTATAATTTTTTTCAGTGACATTTTGTGGTTTTCTACATATAACTTTTGCACTTTTGGGTTAAAGTTATTCCTAAGTATTTTATTCTTTTTGATGCTATTTTAAAATGAATTGTTTTCTTAATTTTATTTTAGTATGTTTATTGCTGGTTTATAGAAATACAGTTGTTTTTTTGTAATCTGATCCTGTGTCCTGTAAGCTTGGTGTTCTACTTTATTAGCTCCAACAGTTTTTTGTGTATTCCTTACCATTTTCTGAATGTAGGATCATGTTCATCTGCAAATAGAGGTTTATGCTCTTTTTAAGCCATTTAATCTGGTGAATAGGTTGTGTGATGAAGATTTCATTTGTAAGTTGAAAATTGTCATATAGGGGGGTGCCTGGGTGGCTCAGTGGGTTAAAGCCTCTGCCCTCAGCTCAGGTCATGATCCCAGGGTCCTGGGATTGAGCCCCGCATTGGGCTCTCTGCTCAGCAGGGAGCCTGCTTCCTCCTGTCTCTCTGCCTGCTGCTCTGTGATCTCCGTCTGTCAAATAAATAAATAAAATCTTAAAAAAAAAAAAAAAGAAAATTGTCATATAGGTACTAGATAGTAGTTCAGGGTAACTAAGTGTTCTAGATAGCTTCAAGTTATGAAGTAGTATTCTTTGTTTGATTTTATTGGTGAAAATCATTCTAAAATGTTTTATGTATTTTCCTTGCTTAGAGTTTGTGTAATATGGGTGGTGTAGGAAGAACTAACATTGATTGAACACCCATTAGCATATTAGCATTTTGTAGATAATTTATGTACCTTCTTATGTAAATCTCATATATTTCTTTCTGGTGGGGTACCTGGGTGGCTCAGTGGGTTAAGATTCTGCCTTCGGCCCAGGTCATGATCTCAGGGACCTGGGATTGAGCCCCACATCGGGCTTACTGCTTGGTGGGGAGCTTTCTTCCCCCTCTCCCTCTGCCTGCCTCTCTGCCTACTTGTGATCTCTCTCTATGTCAAATAAATAAATAAATAAACTCTTAAAAAAACTGATAATCTTTCTGGGATTTTTTTTTCATTAGAAAACTGAGATTAAGGGACATATTCATGGTCATATATCTAAGTTATAACTCTTGAAACTGATATTCAAACCCAGCCTCTCTTGCTTCCCCAGTCTTGCTGTTTTCTTAATACAGTAAACATACTTAGGATTATTTATCAATGTCAGTGTTATGAATTGATGAAGAAAGAACTAGGAATGGCATAGCACTTAAGACTTAAAAGACTGTGGACTTCGGGACGCCTGGGTGGCTCAGTCAGTTAAGCCGCTGCCTTCAGCTCAGGTCATGATCCCAGGGTCCTGGGATCGAGTCCTACATCAGGCTCCTTGCTCGGCAGGGAGCCTCCTTCTCTCTCTGCCTCTGCCTGCTTGTGTGCTCTCTCTCTCTCTCTGACAAAGAGATAAAATCTTAAAAAAAAAAAGACTTACTTTTTTGTAAAACTCATTTTTTTTGCTTTTTTCCCCGCTCCCCCCTTTTACTTACATGACATTATGAGGTATGTAAACTTGACTTCCTTTTTAAAATAGTAATAAGTAGGGGCACCTGGGTGGCTCAGTGGGTTAAAGCCTCTGCTTTCAGCTCAGGTCTTGATCTCAGGGTCCTGGGATGGAGCCCTGCATCAGGCTCTCTGCTCAGTGGGGACCCTGCTTCTCCCCCTTTCTCTCTGCTTCCCTCTCTGCCTACTTGTGATCTCTGTCAAATAAGTAAATAAAATCTTAAAAAAAAAAAATTGAAAAAAGTTAAAAAAATAGTAGTAAGTAAACCATCCTTCTGTGTGTTTCTGATCCTCCAGAAGATCATTGTCATCTGTTATTTCTATATTCTTTGGCTTGTTTGCATCTTTTAAAGCCTTGTGATTTTCAAGCTGCTGACTTAATGGACTATAAGGTTTTTTGTAATATTCTGTTTATGGTAGCTAGGCTCCAAAGATGGTCCTTAGTAAGGATCTTTAATCACATTTGTGTTGTTTCTTTTTTTGTTGAGTCTGGGCTGGCCTATGCTTTATATTAACCAATAGAATGAGACAGAAGTGAGGCTCTGTCAATTCTAGGGCTGGTCATTAAGAGGCAACTTCTTGCTCTGTTTTGGAGCTCTGAAGTCTTATGTAACCAGCTTAGATATTCAGCTGGAGAAATCGCATGGAGAGGCCACACAAAGAAGAAAGGCCCTGAGACTATATTAGAGAGAAAGCATTAGCCAATGCAGTGTCTCAGTTGAGCCTCTCCATCTGATTTTTATGACATTAGAGACTCCAAGCATGACCAGTGGGAGAACTGCTCAATTGAGCCCAGTCAACCCACAGAACTGTGTGATATAAGAAAAAAAGTTGTTTCAAATTATTAAGTTTGGAGTGGTTTGTTAAATAGGAACAAATAACTGAAACACTGTTCTAGTTTATCTCTTGATTTCTTTTTGTAATTAAGAGAAAAGTAACAGTGAGATGAACAGATCATAAGTATATAATTTGCAGAGTATGATACATGTTTATATCTATGAAACTAACAATTTAATCAATATATATAAATTTCCTTCACCCCAGAAAATTTCTTCATTCTTCCTTCTGGTCAATGCTCACCCCTCATAAACAGTAACTACCTTATGTCAACTTGTTTAATGGCTTTTTGGCCAAACTTACTTACTTTCTTAATTTATTTAGTTTTATTTAATTAGTTTTTATTTAGAAATCATAATGACATTTAGTATGTCTCTGTCCCACCTCTCTGCTGCTATAAATTGAGATTTAGAGGTAAAAAGTAGGGGAAATTGAAGAATAAAATAAAAATATATACTTGAGTATGAAGAATTCTGATGAATATATATTTTAAATGTATGTGTAAGAATTTATTCATAATCATATTTCTTACTCATGGCTCTTTCCTATGCTCCAGGCTCTGTTATCCTATACTTCTATGGATTTTACATCCTTCATTTTTCCATCTCTGTGTGCCAGAGAGTCCTGGTTCAGCATCAACAAGCTAGGTTAGAGATTGTAGTACATTGCTTACAATGCTTTTAAAAAGAGGAAATGAAAATTGGTCAGCTAAAACTAAATAATCAAAAAAAAAAAAAAAGAACTTAAACTAGTTACTTGGCATACTGGTCTAATTCAGCTCTGACATGCCTGTGGAAAAACAGAGGAAAATGGCTGGGCCTTATCAGAAGTCCTGAGTCATCTTTATGTACCTAGCATCATGGAGTATTAAAGGAAGTCAGTCAGTCTATTATGAGGGTTAGGTCCTGCCAGGATTTGCACAGGAAATACAAAAGTAAGAGTATGTACCATATGAATGATGGTTGAGCTTTAAAGCACTGTAAATCTGTGCTCATGTAAAATGTGGATCCTTGCAGTGCCCCAGGCTCTCAGAAACTAGATTCGCAACTTCTGTTTTCTTGAGGAAGGACTGGTAACTTTTTAAAGAGGGGTAGGCAGAGGTTAAAGCATAGAAGTTCCTCCTTAAAGATTATTTCCTTTTATTTGAGGTTTTTGTGAAGTTCTTCAAATTTGCCTTAGAAATGCTGTTGGAGGGGAGGGAGTTATTAGTATTTTGGGGATTAGAATTATTTCGGTACAGTAGTAATAATATTTCTAAGACATAATGTTTGTAAAGTACTTGGTCTAGCTCCTGGTATACAGTAAGTGGCCAGTGAATACTAATTTCCCATTAGAGTTCAGAGAAGAACATCAAAGCCAAGCGAGAAAAGGAAAAAATGGCTTAGAAGTGCATCCACGAGCCAGAAGAAGTAGGATTTAGATAGACTGATGTTGAGGAGGACATTTTTGTCATGGTAGTATGACCCACATAGCAAGCCCCACTTTGAGTATAAGTGAAAAGTAGTGGTAAAGATGGCTGTAAAGGTAATTTGTATCATATTTTGGAAACTCTTTAGTATTACTGAGAAGTTCATAATAAATCTGTTAAGTAATGAGTCACTGAGGATGGTTTTTGGGCTGAAGAGTTACCTAATCAAAACTGAGCCACAGGGAGATTAATATGGCAGTGACATGTGGCATATGCTAGAGTGAAGAAAGACTAATGGCACAGAAATCATTCTGGAGAGTACTGAAATAATCCAGGCTGCAGGAAAACCCGATTCCTGGGTTTGATTTTCCATTCTGTTCTCCAGCAAATGAAAATACTTGCATCATCTTTATTGTGAATACATATTTTTATTTGTTTTTTTGTATTTATTTGCTTTATAGCACTTTGCGGAGTACTTTCATGAGACTTACTGATTTTAAATTTTCTATCAGTTCTTCAATATGAATGGCAGATAGTCTACCTAAGAGTAGACCTGTCCGGCAACCCTCTTGGGTCCCCTCCCTCTTCAGGAGCTTTTTTTTTTTTTTTTTTTTTTTTTTTTAAAGATTTTTTATTTATTTGACAGAGAGATCATAAGTAGGCAGAGAGGCAGGCAGAGAGAGAGAGGAGGAAGCAGGTTCCCTGCCAAGCAGAGTCCAATGTGGGACTGGATCCCAGGACCCTGAGATCATGACCTGAGCCGAAGGAGAGGCTTAACCCACTAAGCCACCCAGGCGCCCCTCAGGAGCTTTTCTATTCAGTAAACTTTACTATCGCTCAATAAACTTTGCTTTGCTGGCCAAAAAAAAGAAAGAAAAAAAAAAAAAGCAGACCTAAGTTTGTTGACTCCCAATTTCAGATTCTGTTTATATGCTCTTGCATTTCAGAAGTGGCTCTTAAGGCTACCATTAGCAGTCAGGAATTTCGTATACTTGGGAATATTCAGGAATGTAATGGACAGGTTTTTTTTTTCAGGAAATCGAGATCTACTAATGGTACCATAAAAAACCAAGAGGAGGGGCACCTGGATGGCTCAGTTGGTTGAGCAACAGACTCTTGGTTTCAGCTCAGGTCATGCTTTCAGGGTCATGGGGAAAAAAACAACCCAAGAGGATACTCCCTTTTAGACACATACAGTTTAGTAGGAAGAAAATTGGAAGGATATCTGAAAGATTTATTCACTATTTCAGAGATCCTCAGGTGGCTGACATGATGGGGTTATAACATTTTCCCAGGAAACTTCAATACACATTTATCAAAAGCACTGGTGTATTTTGTTACCTTGTCCCTAAATTACTCCATTGGAATACTCAATTTCTTTAAATATTTTAATTATCTAAGATGGAAGGAAATATAATAAATTGGTAATATTTGTTGCATTTGGGAAAAGAGATTGATGTCAGAGAAACTGGAGTAGAATTTGTACTTTTAAGTTTTATACCATAAGAACATTGTGACCTGTTTGAAAAGAAATTAAAATTAAATTCTTTTCTTTCTGTGTCCTTTTTGTGGATAGAATATATATAAAATACTTGACTGTATTTGAATGTCACATAAGTGGCCTGTATTTTCAGTTCATTGTCCATATATTTTGCTATTCTTGCAAAAAAGTCATGTCCATAGTTGAAAATTAACGATTTGAAATTAAGAAAAAGGAAATGCTGCTAGACTCTTAGTCTGAAATCCTTTAATTGCAAAACAACTTTTTTCTTTTCTTGTTTAGGTTGGGTGTTGAAAACAAAAACATATTTTAGTAGAAATTCCCCTGTATTATTGCTTGGAAAATGTTACCATTTTAAATATGAAGGTAAGTGCTAAATTTGTAATCCATTTAAAAATCTTTGTAGAAATTCATTGTGTAACTGTTTTCATTGTTTTATTTCCAGATTAATCTACTTTTGGCATATTTCTTTTTGCTTCTTACTTATACTTTTTTTTATTGTAGCAAAATACACATAAAATGTACCTTCTTACTGATTTTTAAGTATACGGTCCAGTAGTATTAAATACATTTATAATGTGGTGCTAATAACATTACCACCACTTATCTCCAGAACTTTTCATCTTGTAAACTGAAACTTGACCCATTAAAAAAATAGCTCCGGGTTGCCTGGGTGGCTCAGTGGGTTAAACCTTTGCCTTTGGCTCAGGTCATGATCCCAGGGTCCTGGGATCGAGCCCCACATCGGGCTCTCTGCTTCCTCCTCGCTCTCTGCCTGCCTCTCTGCCTACTTGTGATCTCTTTCTGTCAAATAAATAAATAAAATCTTAAAAAAAAAAAATAGCTCCCCAACCTTTTCTTTCCCTCAGCCCTGGCAACCACCATGCTACTTTTTATGCCTGTGTTTTGGCATATTTCTTTTAAGAACCTGTATTTTATGTAACACAAAATATATTGCCATATGGTTTGGGTTTCTATTGAACTCCTTGAGGATGAAAATCATGACCTCTTTTGTTATATCCTTCATAGTTTTGGACTTATGATAGTGTGAATGCTAAGTAAATATTATTGATATCCTAATATCCCTATCAAGTTCTCAGATAGCTTTAAAGTATAGCTAATAATTAAAAGTAGCATCTTAGTTAACCTAATAATGGTAGATTTTCCAATTCTTTTTTTTTTTTTTTTAAGATTTTATTTATTTATTTGACGGAGATCACAAGTAGACAGAGAGGCAGGCAGAGAGAGAGAGAGAGAGGGAAGCAGGCTCCCTGCTGAGCAGAGAGCCCGATGCGGGACTCGATCCCAGGACCCTGAGATCATGACCTGAGCTGAAGGCAGCAGCTTAACCCACTGAGCCACCCAGGCGCCCCAGATTTTCCAATTCTTAAGGATGCTCCAATTTCTGAAATTAATTGACCTTATTTGATATTTTTAAGTTTCCACATATACTCGTTCTCTTAATAATTATATGTTTTCTTTTAATAATTATCATATATTTTCTTTTAATAATTTATGTCACTTAATGAGCACCTTCTATGTGTTAGGCATAATGCTAAGCTCTTTGTGAAATGTCTTTTATTCTTACGAAAGCCTACAATGTTGATTCAAATATCCTTACCTTATGAATATGGAAACAGGAGCTTAGAGAATTTAAGTAATTTGTCCAAAGTCACACAGGTATTAAATGGCAGAGCTAAAATTTAAACCAAGACTATGTCTCACTTTATGATGGATATTTTTCCTACTATATGTCTTTGCTTGGTTTTGTGTGTATGAGTGTGTGTATTTTGTGTGAATGGGTGTGTGTGTGAGTGAAAGAGAGAGAGAGAGAGGGAGAGTAGAGAAAGAGAGAATGTATGTGAGAGTATGTCATTATCAAGGCTATTATTTTTGGTTGACCTATTTTGGCATATCATTTATCAGCAGTTTTCTAAAACCCTGTAAATGTCTTGTAATAATAACAGCTACCATCTTTTATTATGTGCTAGGCAGCATTTTAAGTAATTTACATGTTTAACTGATTGAATCCTCATAGCATTCTTAAAGGATGAATAGGAAGGTGATGGACAAAGAAGGGATGCATTTTAGTAAATAGAATGGCACAAGATATTAGAGAGTATATTTCAGAAACAGAGACATCTAGTGTAGGTATGGTGGGAGAGGATTCTGAAAATAATCAAATTATGGAAGGGTTCTTGAATGCTATACTAAAAAGTTATATCATTTGTTTATAGGCAGAGGAGAATATGGGCTTTGGGGTCAGACATAAGTGCTTTGAATTTGGCTCTTTTTCCTAATTAGTTGTTACTTTAGGCAAATTATTTATTCTTCCTAAGTATTAAGGATAACTGTTTCATAAGGGTTTAGTGATGTGTCTGATACATATGAGCATCCTAAATAGTATTATTATTCATGATATAGGAAATTGGAGAAAAAGTTATTAAAATTTTTAAAATTAAATAAAAAATTTTTAAAGTAATCTCTGCACCCAATGTGGGGCTTGAACTCATGACCCCAAGATCAAGAGTCTCATGCTATACTGACTAAGCCAGCCAGGCACCCTTTATTAGAATTTTTTTTTTTAAGGATAGCATTATAGATTTTTTGGAAGAAATACTTTGAACAGATCCTTGTAGTGGGCTCTTGGAGGCCCTCAACTCAAGAGACAAAAAGTAAATAATGTAGGAGGTATGAATGAGACAAATAGAAGACTATAGTTGACTCTCAAACAATGGGTTTGAATTGCACAGGTCCACTTATATGTGGATTTCTTTTTTTTTTTTAAGATTTTATTTATTTATTTGACAGACAGAGATCACAAGTAGGCAGAGAGGCAGGCAGAGAGAGAGAGAGAGGGAAGCAGGCTCTCCGCTGAGTGGAGAGCCCGACGTGGGGCTCGATCCCAGGACCCTGGGATCATGACCCGAGCTGAAGGCAGAGGCTTTAACCCACTGAGCCACCCAGGCACCCCTATATGTGGATTTCTGCAATAAGTACAGTACGGTACTGTAGATATATTTTCTCTTCCTTGTGATCTTCTTTTTTTTTTTTTTTTTTAAAGATTTTATTTATTTGACAGAGAGAGATCACAAGCAGGCAGAGAGGCAGGCAGAGAGAGAGGAGGAAGCAGGCTCCCTGCTGAGCAGAGAGCCCGATGCGGGGCTCGATCCCAGGACCCTGAGACCACGACCTGAGCCGAAGGCAGCGGCTCAACCCACTGAGCCACCCAGGCGCCCCTCCTTGTGATCTTCTTAATACTTCTTTTTCTCTAGCTTGTTATAAAAATAGAGTATATACTACATATACAAACATGTGTTAATTGACTATGTTATCAGGTAAGGCTTCTGATCAGCAGTAAGCTATGAGTAGTTCAAGTGTTCAGGGACTCAAAGTTCTGCATGGACTACAGGGTTGGTATTGGAGCCCCTAATCCCACATTGTTTAAGGATCAACTGTATTTTGCTTTGGTTTAGGAGTGGTGATAGAGAGAAGGAGAAAGGTGTGGGGATCTGCAGGGAGAAAGGAGAGGACCTAGAAAGGTGGTAAGAGGCTGCATGTCCATTGAGACATTCCCTGTTGACATCCTCTGATCTTTAAGTAAAGTTGGGTCAGCTTATGAAGTGCTTGTTCTAAGAGGAGTTCTTTTGGAAAGGGGATAAATTTGACATGTGGAATAAAGAAGACAACTCATATTGTAGTGGCTGGACACAGGGAGGACCATTAAAGCTAAAGCTATGGAGAATTAGCAGAAATCTTGGAGGCTAGGTTTGGACTCTTACAGGTCACAGAATTTTTGGCATGAGCAAGTTGTCTACATTTTCAGAGAGATAGTGGGGTGCCCAGTTGGCTTCCTAATTACAGTGATTGTTACTTTCTTAGATTTTTGAGCAACAAAATGCCAAATTTCATGAAATTATTTTCAGTGATTATATATTGAGAATGTACTGGTTAGGACATTGATCTTGCCCAGAATGAGCACATAATAATCATAACTAATACATGCTTTGGAAGAATAACTGATAGAAGAATGATTGGAAGTCAGTTAACAGGCAAGATACAGTGACTCTGATATAGGGTAGTGGAAATGGAAAGGAGGGGATGGATTTGAGATATTTTAAGAGAGTATCAACAGCATTTAACATGATTGGATTTAGTAACATGAGAGACAGAAGATAAAGAAGACTTAAAAACTACTATCTTGGATGATAGGTAGTATTAGTAACCAAATGTGCTATACTAAAGGAAGCATGGGTTTGAGGGTACATGTAGTATTTGAAATACAATATTTAGAAATGGACAGTCTGAGTGAAGTTGGCTGTTTAGAATTTATTTGTATTTATTTTCAAAGAGGTGGCCTTTGAGGCCAATGGGTAAAGTCATATTGATGGAAAGTATAGGCAGAGAACATCCATCTTGAAGGATATCCTGATGAGGAAGAATTAGTGAATGAAATTAAGAAGGAATAGGCAATATATAGGACAAAACCCCACAATGGTATATTATCAAAGACCAAAGGAAAGAGATTTTCAGAGAGAAAGAGTTGGACAAAATGTTTAATGCTCAAAAGAGGTTGAGTAGGAAATAGCCTCAGTAGAGGCTCTAGGATTTAATTGCTGATGACTTTTGAGAGAGCAGTTTCACTGGAGTGGTAAAGATAGAAAAGTAACAGCGGCTAGCCTGCATTTACTCAGCATGGGTATGATATTTGGTAGAGAAGAATTTTTTTTTTAAAGATTTTATTCATTTATTTGAGAGAAAGAGAGAGACCGAGGGATCATGAGCAGGGGTGGGGCATAGTGAGAGAGACATGCAGATTCCCTGAGTGGGGAGCCTGACACCAGGCTCAATCCCATGACCCTGAGATCATGGCCTGAGCCAAGGTCAGATGCATAACCGACTGAGCCACCCAGGTGCTTCAGAGAAGAACTTCCTATATAAAACATAACATTATAGGGGCACCTGGGTGGTTCAGTGGGTTAAAGCCTCTGCCTTCGGCTCAGGTCATGATCCCAGAGTCCTGGGATTGAGCCCCACATCGGGCTCTCTGCTCTGCAGGGAGCCTGCTTCCTCCTCTCTCTCTCTGCCTGCCTCTCTGCCTACTTGATCTCTGTCAAATAAATAAATAAAATCTTTAAAAAAAAAACACATAACATTATCACCTATATAAGAAAATATTGATCAATTTGACCAAATACAAATTTAAAATATCTATATGACAGAAGACACCATAAACAAAATTTCATAGCAAGCAAGATAGAGAAGACATTTACACATACTCTTTCATTCTCTTTTCATGTGTGTAGGTGTCTTATCTGTGTGTGTATCACATGATGATCTTTCTATCTCTCCATCTACATCTTAAA